CTCCACGGCGACACCTTTCGCGGTGATGCCCCGCCTGGCAGAACTTCCGCGCGCCGCTCTTGCTCCCTTCGTCGCCCGGTGGCCCTTCACTTGGTCGCGGTTTCAATGGCCGACCTCCCAGAAAGACACCCCGCACCCAGGCGCGCAGCACGTCGGCGGCTTCGCGTCCGCCTCTGCCGTCCGCTTTCGGCTCCGCGCTTCGAAGTTCGCCCGCAGCGCCGCCCTCTCCCGATCCCCCGCGCACTTCCGACGCGTCCTCTGGTCAGCTGCGTCGTGCTTCTTCTGAGCTTCCGACATGTCCCTTCCTCCGTCGTCACGCGCCAGGCACTTGTCGTTCGCGCGCCGAACTGTGCCCGCGCTTCCGTTCCATTTCGCGTTGCCGCTCCGCGACTTCTGCTTGGCTTTCACATGGCTGCACTTCGCGCAGTGCATTATCCGACTCCTCTTCGGCGCCCCGCTGTCGCCCGCTGCGCCCGTGCCCCCGCCGCTCACATGCCGCGTCGCATCGCCGCCCTCCGCTTTCGTTGCCCACCTCTGCACGCTGCGCACCATTGCCCCTCAGAGTTTTTTCATCTCTTCCGCGCATTCTTTACAAAACGCTGGCCTCTCTTTTCTCTGGAACTCATGCTTCGAGAACGCTTCCACCAACAACCTCCGGCGGCATCGCTCGCACTGGCCCCGCGGCATCAGTTCCGCCCCCCACTTCCCTCAGTCCACGGCCTCCCCTCGGAGCACTCGCAATAGCTTTTTCGCGCCAGGCATGTCGCCCTCGCCGCGCGGTTTCCTGTCAAAAGGCAGAAAGATCAAAAGGTTCTCTCGCCTGCGCGCGCGACGGCAACGTCACTTGACATCCAACTCGCGCCGCGCCTTCTCTCAAGGCCCGCTACGACGGCCCCCGCGGCCCGGCCCTGCGCGCCCATGCCCCCCCCCCCCCGGGGCCCCCAACCGGCAAGTTGCCCCCCGCCCCCCCCCCCCCCTCGTGGTGGACGACCCTCCGCCGAACTCACCCGAAGCGGTCCGGGCCCCCCGGGCTCGGCCGGGGGCCTCCGACGCCGCCCCCAAGATGGCCCAAGAGAACGCAAAGTCGCCGAACGATCGCTTCAAGACGCCCAAGGTGGGCCCCAGGCGGCCAACGAGGGCGCCGCGACGCTCCAAGAGGCCTCCAACCGGCTGCCGAAGCGGGGGCCCCAGACGCCCAAATCGCGCCATTCCTATGGGAAAACGCACATTTTTGGCACATGCGCCTTTTTCGGCCAACGGAGTTGACAATGGCCCACAAGGCCGCCAAGCCAAGCAGGCGCCAAGACGGCCCAAAGAGGCGCCAAAGACAGCCCAAGAACCCCCAGGCGGCCCCAAGAGGGGCCCAAGAAGGGGAGCCCGAACCGAAAATCCGAGCACCCCGTCCCCGGCGGCCCCCAAGAAGGCCCAAGGGAGCGGCCGAAGGCACCGAGAATCCGTCAAGACACCCCAAAAGGCCCCCCAGCGCGCCTCTCAGGAAACACTAAGATACAAACATCGCCGAATTCCTTTTCCTTGACCTCCTTATTCTCCTCTTCCTCCACCGCGTCCTCCTCCTTCTCGTCCTCCTCTCCCTTTCTACCACATCGCCTGGTCACACAAAGCACAACGCAACGCATGGCGGAGTGGGCGGCGGCCGCGGCGCCCGCGGCCGGCAGCCGCGACGCCCCCCGCGCGCGCCGCGGGCCCATGAGCGCGCGCGCCGCAACAAAACAAGGGGAGAGGCCCCAGATGCCAAAATCGCCCCATTCCTATAGGACACAATCATTCTGGGCACATACGCCTCTTCGGTCAACACGGCGTTGACAATGGCCCGCGAGATCACACGTCCCTCAGCTTAGCAGTCCTGTCAGAAACGGCGGCGGCGACACTGCGGGCGCGTCGCGCGTCTGCGACGGCCCCCGGCAACTACGACGCCCTTCGCCCTGCGGCAGCGCGGGGCGAGGCCAGCGCAAGGCCCCTCCCGTGCTTTCGCACCCCTCACCTCAATCATCCTTGTTCTCGCCCCTCCCTGCCCCCCCCTTCCCTTCCCCTCCCCAACATTCGGGCGCTGTCTCGAGCGTTCACATGGATCTCACGCGCGCGCCTTGCACCGCGGCGCGCGTCTTCCCACGGCGCGCGCGAAATGCGGTCCAACCGTGAACTTCGACTTCGGTAGCTTCCTCTTGCAGGCGCCGAAGCACTCGTGCGCTTGCGCGCTGCGAGCCGCGAAGCCGACTGCGATGCACTCCGCGCATGCAACTTTACTCTTCCTCCGACAAATGGGCGCCCCGAACCGACAATTCCACTCCCCCGGCCTCCGGGTAGCACCCCCCCCGTCCCCCGCCAAACTCACCAGGGGGAGATCGGCCCTCCTTGGCCTCGCCCCGGAGTTCCAGGACAACCCCCGAGGCCTCCGAAGAAGCCCCCAAGACAATCCAAGAGAGCCCCGACTCGCCGAAAGACCGTTCCCAGACGCCCAAGATGGCATCCAGCAGACAACCCACGATGCCCCTAGGCCGCCCCGCAAAGCCTGCGAGAGAGCTCCCGAGACCCGGCGATAGCCCTCGATGAAAAAAAAGGGGGTCGGCGGACGTGGCGTAAGCCTATAGAATCCACGTCCGGAAGTGACGTGCTGAGCGGCAGCGTTTTCCGCGGATGCTGTAATGCAGTGGATCAAATGTGTCCAATGTTTGCATAATTCCCACATGCTGCACTGTGTTACATTATTATGTCCCCCCAAGAGCATCCGTCAAAAACGCACCACAACCTCTTGTAAAATCGATGATTCGGGACTTTGGGCCCTCTGGGAGGCCCAATCGGTCCTCAAGACGGCTTTACATGGCTTCAAGACGGGCCAAGACGGCTCCAAGACGGTCCATGATGGCCCCAGAGGGGCCCAAGAAACTCCTGAGTCGCCCCAAGAGGGCCCCAAGACGACCCCCAAGAGTGCCTCCAGAGGCCAAAATCGTTAATTTCCTATATATGTATATATACATATATATATATATATATATATATATATATATATATATATATATATTATATATATTATATATATATTACATGATTCTCGCCTTTCTCGACTCTCAGAAGCCCGCGGCCGCCCAGGCAGCCGCCAAAATTGCACCAACAAAAACCCGAGAAACCCCCAAGAAGGCCCCCAAACGGCCCAGGAGGGCCCAAAGACAACCCAAAAAGGCCGCCACGGCGATCCAAGAAGCCCCTGAGACGGCCCAAGAGGACCCCAAGAAAACTCCAAGGCGGCCGCGAGAGGGCCCCAAGACGGCCGCCGAAGGGGCGGAACGGCGAAAAAAAACGCCCCAAGACGGCCCAAGACGCCCCCAAGAGGCCCCGAGAGACCCCCAAGAGGCCCCCAAGGGGCCCACAACACACAAAAACAAAAAAAAACCCAAGAGACCTCCAAGAAGCCCCCAAGAAGCCTCCAAGAGGCCTCAAAGAAGCCCCCTTAAGCCCACGCAGCGACTGGAGTGCACTGCAATTTTTCTCCCCCTGGGCGAACTGCGGCGCAGCGCCAGCCAGGTGGAAGTTGGTCGCGGCGGCGCCCATGATTAGAGCTGGCGCTGGAAGGGGAGATGGGGGGGGGGGGGCCCGGGAAGGAGGGAGGGGGGGGAGGCCCCAAAGACGCCCCCAAGAGGCTCAAAGAAGCTCCCAAGAGGCCTCCAGGAGGCCCCCAAGAGGCCCCCAAGAGGCCCCGCGACGACGTGACCAAGACGGTGCAATATGGCCCCAAGAGGGCCCCCCCAAAAAACCCAAACGCCCCAAGAGGGCGCCAAGAGGACCTCCAAGAGCGCTTCCAGAAACAAACATCATTGATTCCCAATGAATGTTCAAAGATTTTGGCGTTCTCGCCTTTGTCGACTCCCCGAGCCCCAGGACGGCCCAGAAAGCCTCCGAAGTGGCTCCAAGACGGCCAAATTAGCCCTCAAGAGGGCCTTTAAGAGGGCCCGCAAGCGGCCGAAGAGGGCTCAGGCCGGCCCAAAGAAGCCCTCCAAACGCCTCACCGTACGACGTCACTGCACGCACTCCGGACGTGCACCCCGCGAAGCGAGAGGAATCATCATCATCATCAGCATCAGCATCATCATCATCATCGGCATCATCATCCTTCCCATCATCATCAGCATCATCATCAGCATCACCACCATCATCGTCGCCATCATCGTCAGTATCACCATCATCATCATCAGCATCATCATCATCATCTTCAAGATCATCATCGTCAGCATCATCCTCATCATCGTCATCGTCGCTGTCATCGTCACCACCATAACCATCCTCAACATCGGCATCGTCATCATTATCCGCATCATCATCATCCTCATCATTCTCATCATCCTCATCACCACCCGCGCCATCGTCATCATGATCCTGATCATCTCCATCGCCACCATCATCATCATCCCCATCCGCATGCTCATTCTGAACCTCATCCTCAATCTCATCCTCACCCTGATCCTGATCCTCATCAGCATCATAAGCGTCGCCCTCCGACGACGACGACGAACTTCGTTGGGCGTCAGAACTGGGGGGAGGGTTTGGCCTGAATTGCCTTCGTGAGAGGGCGGGGGCAGGGCCGGAAAGGGGCGAGGGGTACCCGAGGAGACCAGAACAACGAAACCCCAATGCTGCTTCGGGGAAAGCGTCAGGGCCCCCCTGAAGCCGCCCCGAAACGGCCCGAGACGCCCCATCACAGAACCCAAAGACGGCCCCAAGATTGCCCGAACACCCCCCAAAACCTCTTGCGAAGGCTCCAGGACGGCCCCAGGGCCCGCCCGACCGCCCCAAAGATGGTTCAACCGAGCCTCGCAGGCGGCTCGGTAAACGACAGCGCCGAACAAGCCGCCGAGACGATCCAGCTGGCCCCCAACAACCCCCCAACAGATCGACGAGGGACCCCCATAAAGAGTACCAAGAAGCCCAATCGAAACCCTCCAGGACGACTTCAAGACGCCTTCACAAGGAGGGAGGAAAAGGGGTGACGTGTGAGGGAAGAGGTGACCGAAAGGCCGATCCCCTCCCGAGTCGGTAAAGGCGGCAACGGTGGTGTAAAGGGCCACGATGAAGGTTCTACCCTTCTTCTCCGTCCTACAGCCAGAGTTGCGCCCCAGCACCTGGGAGCCGAAAGTGGCGGCGCGTTCGGTGCAAGGATAGGACAGGTAGGGGGTCCACGCGCAGATGAGGAGCTGCTGCGGACTGGGGGGGGGGGGGGGGCGCTTGACCCTGCCCAAGTCACGACAGGGAACTGGCTGGAGCGGGCTTTGAGATGAAGGGGGAAGGGGGGGGGGGGGGGGGGCCACGCTGCTGCACTACTATCTGCCCCTGCAAATCTGGGCTTTGAAACAATGGTCAAATTATAAACTCATACCCATTAGGGGACATGGTAAGACCCTTCCCCAGATCCGCTGCCCAGGAAGGGCGCTTTTAGATATTACCCAAATCAACCCTTCCCCACGCCGCGTTCGCTGGGGGTGGGCTCAACAAAAATCGAGCGGTTTGAAATGGGAACGGGTTTCCCGACCGCCGCTTCTACTGCTTCAGGCACAAGTTGCGCAACAGAGCTTCGGCCTGCTTCTCGAGCAAGTCCTTCCAATCAATCCCGACAATCTCGCGGTCGAGCTCGCAGATCTGCGTCAGTTGCGCGGTATCATGACATGGCAAATCTGGGCGGAGGTGCGCAGCGCGGTCTCCGAAGGCATCTCGAAAATTGACATCAATTTTGAGTGAGTACTTCTTCATCGGCTCCATGTCCAGACACTTATTCGGCATGGTGTGGCGCTTGAACATGGCGTCAAAATTCTGCGCGAGCTCTTGCATCTGCAGCGCTTTCAATCTGCAGCGGTGGTGCTCTGCCATGCATTCTCCGAGTTGGTGCCACATTGGGAAATAAACAACCTCGTCACAAAAGGCAATCCTGGCGTGCTGCTAACTTGTTGGAGCGGCTCCTGGAAGGCCCGTAAACCAACGGCAGACAACATCATATTCACAATGTCTCCGTCGTTCTTTGCACCTAGCAAATCCAATATGAAAACGCTATCCCTGCGAAATGCTTGCACATAATTGGTGGCCCAAGTCGGGCAAACTTCTCCCAATACTCGGCGAACGATACGCGGTTTTCCGGCGGCTGATGCGTGGAGAAGTGCTGCTTGTAGGCAGACCACCTCCAACTGAGAATTGGTCGGTGGGTGAGCACCAAATTCTAAACTGCAGAGATAACGTTTTCAACGACGGGATCGTCTTTGGACTCATCATGCAAAACTTCTCGGAGCTGACGATCACGTGCTGGCCGTTAGCCACTGCCTCGCTGAGCTTATTCTTGAAGGCTGTCACTCTGGTATCGTTTGAGTTTGGATTCGAAAGTAAGTGATACGCTGGAGCAAACTTTCAGATGTTCCTCCATGTTCCTCCACAGGCGGCACGAAGTACATTCTATTTCTCTCGAGGAGCTCGTCACGGTATGTCCAAAGTCTATGTTGGATGTACGTCGTTCGTCTTGGGCGGCCCGACGTGGATCAGAGCGATCGGCCTATTCAAGGGTCCCGCTAAACGCCTGGTAACCGATGGACTGGTGAAGCTCCATCCACCGCAGCCTCGAAGGGCATCCGCCAGCGGCCAAGAAAGGGCAACCACGATCACGAAAAGGATGCAAAACGCTGGCGAATGGAAAAACAATCCAAGTCTTCTCGGCACAGTCATGGGTGTCTTTGGCATGCCAGTCATACTGTATTCGCGCCCGCCTGCGGTCATCAATTCGATCCTTACGCCTTGAGACAAAGTGGCTACGGAGCATGGGGCCATATAGTGTGAAACAACACACGGGTGACACGTGTCACCCGGAAAACCGTGTGAGGAAAACCAATTGTTTCACTCGCATTCTGGACGCCAACATGGGGCCATAGTGTGTGACACAGCACACGGGTGACACGTCTCACCCGGAAAATCGCGGGAGACAAATAAATTGTTTCACTCGTATTCTGGACGACAACATGGGCCCATAGTTTCAACGCGAATGTGATGCTCAACGCGAATCACATTCCGCAATTTAGTTGGCCCGCGGAGGGCGCGTGGGTGTCGAAAACAATGCCGCCGACCAACGCCAACGCGTTTTCCACAATGTTGTGGTTCCGCGGAGGGAGGGTCGGTGTTGAACAAAAATGAGCCCGCGTTTCCCTGCAAGGCGCGCGGGCTGCAGGGTGGGCAAGTACAGAAAAATCAAACCAGAAATTCGCCGGGGGGGGGGGACGTAAATGCCGCATGCCCCACTCACTGGCCATCGCTCGGACGTCCATTCCCCGTGCCTTTTTTCGGTTTCGTGCGCGGCTTGTTCGCCAAATGATGGTCTTCGCCGAAGGAAACATGCACACGTCCGAGCGATGCCAGGCTCATGCTCTGAGCTCGACCTCCGTGCTGCTGCGCTGCCGCGCTGGCACGATGGCGCGGCAGCGTCTCCAGGCGGCCGGACAGGGGACGGGGGAACGGTGGGGGCCGGGGGACGGGGGGCGATGGCAGGAGGGGAAGGGCGAAAGAGGGGCAGGAGGCGATGGCAGGAGGGGCAGGAGGCGATGGCAGGAGGGGCAGGAGGCGATGGCAGGAGGGGAGGCGATGGCAGCAGGGGAAGGGAGAGGAGAGGAGGCAGGACGGCCTAGAGGGCGGGGGTCGAGATCGAGGGCGGCAGAGGGGGAGGAGAGCGGAAGGGGACGGGGCCTCCAAGGGGAAGGGGTGAGGGGGAAGGAAGAGAAGAGGCGAGAGGGAAGACGGCAAGCCGAAACGGAACTCGCAGCACGTATGATGTCCTTCCTCCTCCCAGCGGAGGCCTCCGCGGATGCCCCCGGACGCCCACGAAGGATCCGAAAACAGCCCCCAGCAATCTCGGTCCTCGAGGACCGCGGATCGGCCAGTCGTTCCCCGGCGCGCGCTGCCCTTTCTGTTCGCCAAATCGGGTGACAAACCAAATCGTGGCGAACGGGGGCGGCGACGACGACGACGACGACGAACGACGACGACGACGACGACTAAGACGACGGCGAACTGTTTCATTTTGCAGCGCTTGGCGGGACAGTGCGCGGAAGGGGTCGGGCAACGTCCTGGGCAGAGGAAGGAGGACGTGGAGCGGCCAACCAGCGCTGTGCGCGAAGCAAGCAAGCCGTTTATATCGAAATCAGGAAGCCCTCGCTCGCCATCAAGGGAGGGGGAAAGGGCCTGTCCAGGACTCAACTCCGGGAAGCCAAATATGTTCTCACCGCCAACGGAGCCCGGACTTTGCAAGCATCGCCGACGATCATTCGCAAACGATTTTGAGACGCACTGCGCGCCACTAAATGACACTATGCCCAACCCAGCCCTTTGCAGTCTACGCTGACATCCACGCGTTCTCATCTACATGAGAGCGTGGGCTCTTGCCCCCACAACTCCGGATGTGATTGGGTCGTGGACCCCGGGGCCATCCGACGGGCGGATGTTGCAACCGTGCGCACTGTGAACCTCGCACCCACTAGATACGTAGGCGTTGAAAGCCATTCTGCTGCTGGTTCAACTGGACGGTGACGGGAAGCACGATCACGACGACTACGACGACGATGTCAGGGGTGGTCGGGGTGGTGATGGTGATAACCATCATGAAGATGATGATGCTTGTGATGGTGGTTATGCTGCACATGACAACGTTGATGATTATGTTTCCTCCTCCTTTTCGTCCTCATCCACATATCAACTCCCGTCCCTCTCTCCCTGCCCCCCCCTGTCGCACGTGCACATCCGACCCCGTCCCCCCGTCCGTCCTGCTCCCACTACTCCTGCTCGTCCGCCCCTCCTGTCCCCCCCCCGCCTTTGCGAGTGCCTATCCCGCTGTTGCTTTCCAGCTCATCCCCAGGGGCAGAACCAAAAACGTCAAAGATCTGCCCACAGGAAGGAACCACCCCATGCACATGACATCGCCCGGAAACACACACACACACTTATTGACGTCACGCCCCCGCGCGCGGCGACGGGGCGTAGAACGTCGAATGCAAGCGGCAGAACGCGCACGTCTACGCCCGGCCGAGCTCTCAAAGACCCTTGCGATCCCGCAGCGCCCGGCGGCAGCCATAACCATCCGGGGCTGGATGGCGGGGAGAGGCAGTGAGCAGACGAAACTACGGTGAAGGTGGAGTGTGCCACAAGCCAGTTGGGACAGAAGGCGGGGACAGCGAGTAACCGAGTGGACCGACAAAGGAGAGCGACAAAGAACGACGGCAGAGAGCGAGCTGAAGAAAGCAGAGCCGCAAAAGAGACACACACATGAA